TGTTGTGTATTTTAAAGCTATGTTCTTTATTAGGTGCTGCATATCATGTATGAAAAAGTATAGATATAATTTGAGGTCCTGGACGATAGTAAGATTTATTTTTGCTTCTAGAAGGCAGTTGGAGTGTGGGCAGACACTCTTTATTCAGTGGTTTTCAACCACAGGTGATTTTCCCCACCAGGGGACATTTGGCAATGGCTGGAGACAGTTTGGCTATCAGAATTTGGGGAAGGGGAGGTGCTATTGGCACCCAGTGGTTAAAGGCCAGGAATGCTAAACATTGCGTAAGATGGTTCACTGATAATGTCAATATCAGTGTCAACAGCACTGAGGTTGAGAAACCTTGCTTTAATCCAACTGTCAGAGGCGCTTGAACCAAAGAAACTCCATCTTGAGTAGGGGGTGCCTAAAATAAGGCTGATACCTGCTGGGCTGCATTCCCAGAAAGTTAGAGATTCTAAGTTAGGGAACGAGATAAGAGGTCAGCACAAGACACAGGTCATAAACACCTTGCTGATAAAACACCCTGCAGTAAAGAAGCTAGCTAAAACCCACCAACACGAAGATAGCAGCAAGAGTGACCTCTGGTCATCCTCACTGCTACACTCCCACTAGGGCCATGACAGTTTATAAATGCCATGGCAACGTCAGGAAGTGACCCCATGTGGTCTAAAAAGGGGAGGCATGAACCCTCGGGGCTGCTCTGTCTATGGGGTAACCATTCTTTAATTCCTCTACTTTCCTAATGAACTTGCTTTCACTTTACTCTATGGACTCACCCTCAATTATTTCTTGCACCAGATCCTAGAACCTTGAGGTCTGGATCGGGACCCCTTTCCTGCAACACAATCAAACGTGAAGCCAATGGGAGGCTGGGTTTCAGTCTTCGTGAGAGTTTCTCTATTTTCATTCCTACTCCTTCCAAAGGCCGAGGCCCTTTGGAAGTTGAAAGCTGGCGGCTGCTGGGAGCTTCTCTGCCTCGTGAAATAGGCAAATGCCTCAAAATTCAAAGCTCTGCTAACCTTCTCTCCAGGACCTTGACCCTCAAATCCTCACCCCCTCGGTGGCTCACCTTCAAACACGTTTGTTTTGCCAGCTTTTCTGGCTGTTCTGGATAGGAGGGCTGATCGACCAATCTGCCTTTAGGGGAAACAGCAAGAGATTGCCTCTCAGTCTTTTCTGGAAGCTTTCAAATGCAGGCGGTAGGCCTATTGTGATGCTAGTGGAGTCTCTGCTCTGCCCCGACTTTGCCCATTCTGCGTGGAGGGGGCAGCTCTAGTTCCCCAAGCCTGAAAGAGGATGGACACTCCCATCTTCCGATCATCCTGCCACCAGGAAGATCTATGGGATGAGAGAGGGAGTGGATTTCTCCCTAGTTATCTAAGAAACAAGAAATGTCTCAGCCTTCGTTTTTCCTTTCTCATACAAGGTGAAGTACTGCAGTCTCATACAAGGAAACATATTTTTCCTGTTAACATTATTTTGATCCTGCTCCTTAGGAAAGACTAAGCCTGGCATTAAAGTGCTGGGAGCATTTACCTTCCCCCAACCCCCACCCCAAAGTCTGGCTTACAGTGCTGGAAAACCAACCAAGTGGGGATGCGGTCAGCTCCCATTATTAGGAGAGAATTCTAATCAGATTGTGGATTCGATTACTTCTGACTCATAAATCTCCCTGACTTTAGAAAACAGGGCTATCTCGCTTATTGGAGGAATCTCGCTTGTAGTGTGACTGGAGGCATGGCTGCCTTCTCATCCGCTGAGATGCACGCCGCCCAGACCAGCACAGACATCCTGTGCTCGCTTCCTTTACTTGGTTTTCAAATGAGGCCTTTGTGTATCACTGCTATTGTAAGGAATACGAAATAATGAAAGAAGTGATTCTTTGGGTGAGTCATTCTATTATAAAATGGAGCCCACAGTCAGGAACGGCTGAGCGAACAGGACAGGATTTCTCCCAGCGGGGATGAAAGCAGAAGGCGCAGTCATGACGCGCCCCCTACTGGTCAGCGCGGAGAAATCCCCCACCTGGCGGTGGCTCACACATGCAGCCCTGGCACTTTGGAAAGCCGCGCGGGTGGATCACTTGAGGCCAGGAGTTTGAGACCAGCCTGGCCAATATGGTGAAATCCCGTCTCTTGTAAAATAACACAAATTAGCTGGGCGTGGTGGCGAACACGTGTAATCCCAGCTACTCAGGAGGCTGAGGCAGGAGAATTGCTTGAACCCGGGAGGTGGAGGCCGTTGTGAGCAGAGAGTTCACCATTGCACTCCAAAGAATCACAGAACTGGGCTGGTGCGGTGGCTCACGCCTGTAATCCCACCACCTTGGGAGGCTGAGGTGGGCCGCTCACTTGAGGTTAGGAGTTCGAGACCAGCCTGGGCAACATGGCGAAACTCCTCTCTCTACCAAATAATACGAAAATTAGCCGGGCGACGTGGTGCCCAGCTACTTGGGAGGCTGAGGCAGGGGAATTGCTTGAACCAGGGAGGCTGACGGAGGTTGCAGTGAGCCTAAATCGTGCCACTACACTCCAGCCTGGGCAACACAGAGACCTTGTCTTAAAAAAAAAAAAAAAATTGAATCACAGAACTGAAGCAGAATTCCATGAATCCAGTGGAATTTCATTAAATTCCATAAGTTGGAATTCAATTCCATGAATGAAATTTCATGACTCCATTGGGATTCACAGAACTGCTAACACACAGTGAGATACTGAGGAGGCTGAGATGAGAGCCCCTGTCTCAGGACTCCGGGGCCTAATTTAACAGCCAGAATCTGCCAAGGTCAGAGGTAGCCTTAACCTGTACTGTACTCATAAATCAATCTCCCCAGAGATTTCAAACCTTCATATTGCTTTGCTAAAGCCTTAGCTCCTTTCAACCTAAGGAAGTTGATTGAAAGAAAAAAAAAAGGAGGGGGCAGGGGTACAGGCACAGTGGTTCATATTATAGCCACCTATAATTCCAGCACTTTGGGAGGCAGGTGGATCATGAGGTTAGGAGTTCAAGACCAGCCTTGCCGAGATGGTGAAACCCCATCTCCACTAAAAATACAAAAAATTAGCTGGGCATGGTGGTGGGCACCTGTAATCCCAGCTACTTGGGAGGCTGAGGCAGAGAACTTCTTGAACCCAGGAGGCAGAGGTTGCAATGAGTCAAGACAGTGTCACTGTACTCCAGCCTGGGCAACAGAGTGAGACTCTGCCTCAAAACAAAGAAACAAAAAACAGCCTTGGCTCTAAAGAAAGATTTTGAGTTTCTGGCTGGGCGCGGTGGCTCATGCCTGTAATCCCAGCACTTTGGGAGGCCGAGGCAGGTGGATCACAAGATCAGGAGTTCAAGACCAGCCTGGCCAAGATGGTGAAATCCCGTCTCTACTAAAAATACACAAATGAGCCCCGTGTGGTGTCGGGTGGCTGTAATCCCAGCTACTTGGGAGGCTGAGGCAGAAAACTGTTTGAACCCACGAGGCGGAGGTTGCAGTGAGCTGAGATTGCGCCACTGCTCTCCAGCCTAGGCAACAGAGCAAGACTCTGTCTCAAAAAAAAAAAAAAAAAAAAAAAAAAGATTTTGAGTTTTACATTCCAGTGGACGGCAAAAACAAAAACAAAAAACACACATTTGTGCAAAATCAACCGTTTACATTTTATACTAATCAATAACATTTTATACTAATCAATAACATTTTATACTAATCAATAAGCTATTCTTGGGCCGCATTCTTGTTTGTACACACATGCCTTCTGTCTTTCATTCTAACCTGAAACTTTATCCTTAAATGTCCTTGTGCAATGATTATAAAATGTAATTTTATTTTTAAACTATATATTTTCTTTTGTTAATTTCTTCCTTTTTTTTTTTTTTGAGACAGTCTCACTCTGTTGCCTAGGCCAGAGTGCAGTGGCGTGATCTGAGCTCACTGCAACCTCTGTTTCCTGGGTTCAAACTATTCTCTTGCCTCAGTCTCAATTACAGGCATGTGCCATGATGCCCGGCTAATTTACTTGTATTTTTAGTGGAGACAGGGTTTTGCCATGTTGGCCAGGTTGGTGTGGAACTCCTGACCTGCTTCGGCCTCCCAAAGTGCTGGGCTTACAGGTGTGAGCTACCATGCCCGGTCTCTTTTGTTAATTTCTTTAATTTTGACATATTATAGTTGTACTTATTGTGAGAGTACTTGTGATATTTTGATATATGTACACAAATCAGGGTAACTGAGATATCCATTGCCTCTGTGTATTTTCTGATATCTTGATCATTAGGGTGAAATACAAGGAAAAAATAAAATAAAATGGAGAAGTTATGTTTTTAGAATTTTTAAATCTTAAGAGTTTGAAATGTATATATTTGAGGTAATGAGACTTTTTTGTCTGAAAGAAATTTGTGACCCAATAATTAGTCAAAATTGTCTCGAAAAAATGTTAATGAAACTGGGAACCTTTTGGTAGACATTTTTTTTTTTTTTTTTGAGACGGAGTTTCGCCCTTGTTACCCAGGCTGAAGTGCAATGGCGCGATCTCGGCTCACGGCAACCTCCACCTCCTGGGTTCAGGCAATTCTCCTGCCTCAACCTCCTAAGTAGCTGGGATTTCAGGCACGTGCCACCATGCCCAGCTAATGTTTTGTATTTTTAGTAGAGACGGGGTTTCACCATGTTGACCAGGATGGTCTCGATCTCTTGACCTTGTGATCCACCCGCCTTGGCCTCCCAAAGTGCTGGGATTACAGGCTTGAGCCACCGCGCCCGGCCTGGGAGACATTTTTAAATTATGTCAGCTGCTTCTTTGTCAGAGAGTGGACAGAACTGGCTGAGAACAGTCACATTCAAAGTCTTTGTGTGCACTCTTTTAGTTATGAAAATGTAGGGCAAGTAAGCACTCATTTCCCTGAGTGAAAAGTGACATAAACACTTTTTTTTTTTTTTTTTTTTTGAGACAGAGTCTCTCTCTGTTGCCCAGCCAGTTCTTACAGCTGCTCTTCAGACCCCCGCAATCAAGATGGTGAAGCAGATTGAGAGCCAGGTTGCTTTTCAGGAGGCCTTGGAGGCTGCAGGTGATAAACTTGTTGTAGTTGACATCTCAGCCACGTGGTGTGGGCCTTGCAAACAGATCAAGCCTTCCTCTCATTCCCTGTCTGAAAAGAATTCCCACATGGTATTCCTTGAAGTACACGTGGATGACTGTCAGGATGTCGCTTCAGAATGTGAACTCAAATGCATGCCAACCTTCCAGTTTTTTAAGAAGGGACAAAAGGTGAATTTTCTAGAGCTAATAAGGAAAAGCTTGAAGCTAGCATTAATGAACTAGTCTAATCATGTTTTCTGAAAACATACCAGCCATTGGCTATTTAAAACTTACAATTATTTTATTTACATAAAGTATGGAGACTATAAACCCAACTGCCATCTGGATGACAATAACATATTAATTCTACCTTTAAAAAAAGAAAAAGAGGGTACCAGAAACAAAGACCCAGAGATGATTGGGGTCTGGGAGGAGGGAGCTGGAGAACAGGTGAGTGTGAACAGAATGAGTCAGTCAAGATTTACCTGAGAAACAGAATATACATATACAGTGCTTGTGTGGTAGGGATGTGTGTGTATTTAATATATATATTTTTTGAGACTGAGTCTCGCTGTGTCACCCAGGCTGGAGTGCAATGGCGTGATCTCAGCTCTCTGGAACCTCCGCCTCCCTGGTTCAAGCGATTCTCCTGCCTCAGCCTCCTGAGTAGCTGGGATTACAGTCACCTGACACCACACCCAACTAATTTTTGTATTTTTAGTAGAGATGGGATTTCACCATGTTGGTCAGGCTGGTCTTGAACTCCTGACCTTGTGATCCGCCCACCTCGGCCTCCCAAAGTGCTGGGATTACAGGCTTGAGTCACAGCGCCCAGCCTAATTTTTTATTATAAATAGCAACAGGGTTTTCCCATGTTTCCTAAGCTGGCCCCGAACTCCTGGGCTAAGTAATCCATCCTCCTCGGCCTCCCAAAGTGCTGAGATTAGAGGCAAGAGCCACCTCACACAGCCATGTGTGCTTTTTTTTTTTTTTTTTTTTTTTTTTGAGACGGAGTTTCGCTCTTGTTACCCAGGCTGGAGTGCAATGGCGCGATCTCGGCTCACCGCAACCTCCGCCTCCTAGGTTCAGGCAATTCTCCTGCCTCAGCCTCCTGAGTAGCTTGGATTACAGGCATGTGCCACCATGCCCAGCTACTTTTTTTTGTATTTTTAGTAGAGACGGGGTTTCACCATGTTGACCAGGATGGTCTCGATCTCTTGACCTTGTGATCCACCCGCCTCGGCCTCCCAAAGTGCTGGGATTACAGGCTTGAGCCACCGCGCCCGGCCTTTTTTTTTTTTTTAAGGAATTGGCTCACATGATTGTGGGGACAGACAAGTTGGAAACCTGTAGGGCAGGGCAGAGTAGGGCAGGGAAGGGTAGGGCAGAGCAGGGTAGAGCAGGCAGCAGGCTAGAAACTCAGCCGGGGAAGATGCTGTAATCTGGAGGCAGAATTTGTTCTCCTCTGGGAGAAGTCAATGGATGGTAGATGTTAACCAAGTCTGCAGAATATGTGTTCAGCAACATCTGGTGTTGGAGCTAATAGCTGGGTGCTGTGGTCCAGACAAGGTGCCACCTGAAACATCCTCACACCGTAAGAAGATTGGCAGTTGAGGAAGGAACACTGGGGACCTTGATGTTGAATAGAGGGCAGGGGAAGCGGGTGAGTCAGAGCCTCATGGGGAGGAGAGCTGGAGACATTGCATAACACCGGTGACAGTGTGCCCACAGGAGTGGTTTCGGTAGGGGTGGGGGCAGGAGTGGATGGCAATGGGTGATCAGGATGTGGGAGGTGAGGGGACTTAGCTGGCTCTTCCACGACATGTGATCAGAAAGTGGGGGCAGTGAGCCGGGCGCAGTGGCTCTCGCCTGTATCCCAGCACTTTGGGAGGTCAAAACAGGTGGATCACTTGAGATCAGGAGTTCAAGGCCAGCCTGGCCAACATGGTGAAACCCCATCTCTACTAAAAATACAAAATTTAGCTGAGTGTGATGGTGCATGTCTGTAATCCTAGCTACTCAGGAGGCTGAAGTGGGAGAATCGCTTGAACCTGGGAGGCGGAGGTTCCAGTGAGCTGAGATTGTACTACCTTACTCCCACCTGAGTGACAGAGCAAGACCCTGTCTCAAAAAAAAAAAAAAAAAAAAAAAAAAAAAGTGGGCGGACGGGGGTAAAGTAAGGAGGAAGCATTTCTTTTTGGTTTGTGCTTTCTGTAGGCTAAGGAGAAGAAAAGAGCCAGTGGGGAGAGAGAGAGATGAAATGGAAGACAACAAGTGAGAGACTGGCAGGATTTCCCTTCTTCAAACTAGAGGAGACTGTTGGGCACAGTGGCTCATGCTTGTAATTCAGGCACTTTGGGAGGCCGAGGCAGGCAGATCACGAGGTCAGGAGTTCAAGACCAGCCTGGCCAACATGGTGAAACCCTGTCTCTACTAAGAATACAAAAATTAGCTGGACATGGTGGTGCGCACCTGTAGTCCCAGCTACTCGAGAGGTGGAATTTGCAAAGAGCCGATAATCGCTTGAACCTGGGAGGCAAAGAAAGGTTGCAGTGAGCCGAGATTGCACCACTGCACTCTCGCCTGGGTGACAGAGTGAAACATTGTTTCCAAAAAAAAAAAAAAAGAACTAGAAGAGAACTTCTTCCTCATCAGACTCCATGCAGCCATCCATCCAGATCCTAGGGCAAAGCTCTGGCTAGAGAAGGCAAGGACAGACTAGGGAATGTTTTAGAAGAGTCTATCTGGAATGCTTTGTCCAGGCCCCTTCACACCTTCAGGCTGGCTTCCAGTTACACAAGGAACTCTGGGCCCACTTGTGAGTTGCGGGAGTGACCCTGTCCATCGAGAGGACCTGTGGCTGCCTCCTCATCCCTTCCCTTGAGCACAGGAAGGCCCCATTGCGGGCTTCCGCTGCCCTCTCTTGTGGTCCTGTCCCTCCTCGCCTGCTCAGATGCCCCCCAGGGACTGATGCAGCTCTTCCTGGTCTCCACTGGTTCCTACTGGGCAGGTCTGGGCAACAGCTTAAGAGTACTAGGAAGGCAGGGTCCTGCCCAAGTGCACATACACGAGTGGAGGAATTTTTACACTTTTTAGGAAGCAACAAAGTAAATATGGGAATTTCAGATCTTCCTTATGCTTCTTTTGTTTTTAATTTAAATTACGTATTGAGGGAAGCTCTACACTTTTTTCCATAGGTGGGCTTCTAGGGCTTCCCCAAGCCCTGCTTTCAGCCCTCTGCACTCACACTTTTCAGAGCCACAGAAGTGGAAGGGCACCGGAATTACTAAGGGTGGGTGTGCCTGCTGGAGGTTTTTTTGTGCTGCCTGAACGTTCAAAACATGCTGGAACACAGAAACAAAGGTATTTGCCCAAGTGACTAAGACATGTTCCAGCATTTTCCCACAGGCTCCTGCATATCCCAAAATAACTGCAACCCTGGATCCTGTCCATTGGCATTCGATTACATTTGTATAATGTTACAGATAGTGGGCAGGTTGGCCAGCCACACTCACACGGGGCTTGCGGGACTGGACAGCCCATCATGGAGGTCTGTGCTGTGCTTCCTGGCTGGCCTGCTGAGGGAGAAATACCCAGACAGAGACCACAACAGTAGCAAGGGCGGGCCTGCCAGAAACACCCAGATCACCAAGAGGAACCTTGGGCAAGGCCTTCCTTTCACAGATGGGAGCAAAGGGCCCAGAGAGAAGAAATTACTTACATCAATTAACTTAAATAAATTACATATCTGGGAATTATGAGAGGAAGCTGGTGAAAGAGTTGGCCCTAAACTGACATCTCCTGAGGATGGTATTTATTTCTGCAGGAACATCAATTTAGCCTTAGAATTCTAACATATTAAGTGGAAGGGACTTTTAAGCACCCCTTAGCCATCAAGGTGGCCTCTGTGCCCAGGTCCCGACAACAATGTGGGAAGAAGGAATTGCTGGAATGGACCTGCCACCCCTCCGGGGATTCACAGTCTTGCTGAGGAAATGACTAAGGATGTTGAGAAAATAACTGCATCTTGGCAAATGCACAGAATGGTGCTGGGAGCTTTGGGAAGGGAAGAGTCTGAGAAGAAATGCGTGGTTCAGGTGGGGAAATTTTCAACCCAAGGGCCTCAAGAGTGGGAAGATCTGGAGGCCGGGCATGGTGGCTCTTATCTGTCATCCCAGCACTTTGGGAGGCCGAGGCAGGCGGATCACTTGAGGTAAGGAGTTTGAGACCAGCCTGGCCAACACTGCAAAACTCCATCTCTACTAAAATTACAAAAATTAGCTGGGTGTGATGGCACATGCCTATAATTCCAGCTACTTGGGAGGCAGAGGCAGGAGAATCGCTTGAATCCAGGAGGCAGAGGTTTCAGTGAGCCGAGATGGCGCCACTGCACTCCAGCCTGGGCAGCAGGATGAGACTCCCATCTCAAAAAAAAAGGGGTGGAAGATTTGGAAAAGCAGATAGGGAGGGTCTGAGCAGGCATCATGGGAAAAAGCCCTGACACTCGGTAGATACTCAGTGGCTGCATGCCCCCCCACTCCTACAGGGGCCAAGACAGTGGTGTCACCAAGAACCTACAGCTAGCTCTGTGCCCTGCTCCCCACACAAGGCCCAGGGGCCAACAACACTGGCCAGATAACTCCTGTCCTGATGCACATGGCACGTCTAATTTGAACGATTGAAAATATTCCAGCCACATTAAAGAGCTACTTATTTGATGATGTTTAGTGATAAAAATACTATCAACCTAATTCAGTAACCACTCAAGGAGGCTTAATGTCATATGAGGTCCATTGAGTCCCAAAGAGAAGCGAAGTGGTCACATCATCTTTGTTGTTGTTGTTGTTTTTTTTGAGACTGAGTCTCACTGTTGCCCAGGCTGGAGTGCAGTGGTATGATCTCAGCTCACTGCGACCTCTGCCTCCCAGGTTCAAGCAGTTCTTATGCCTCAGCCTCCCAAGTAGCTGGAATTATAGGCGCATGCCACTACGCCTGGCTAATTTTTGTATTTTCAGTAGAGAGGGGGTTTCACCATGTTGGCCAGGCTGGTCTCGAACTCCTGACTTCAAGTAATCCACCCACCTCAGCTTCCCAAAGTGCTGGGATTACAGGCATGAGCCACTACACCCGGCCTCGTTCATTTTTAAAATAGTCCAGTAGGCTTTTTTTTCCCCCCTATTTACACATTTGAGTTTCTAGAATTAGTGGCATGTCGGCTTGTACTCCCTAAATGAGTTCACCCAGGAATGATGTTGGCAGATTCCCATCGGAATGACTTCAGCCTTCCTCAGCAGGCTAACAGTGGCGAGCACACCAGTGTGTATTTTTGTGTGGCATCGTCAGGCACCAATATTAAACTCAATACAGTCATGAGAAATTCAGCTTGCGGGCTCTTAAGGCAGCACCCTCACTGCGAGTTCCAAGGTTTCAGGCCTTTCTCTTTCCACTTTATTTTCCAAGGAGTTAAAAAAAAAAAAAAATCCAGCACATCTCCACACTGTGGGGCTGTGGTCCTCCCCAAGCTTAAAAAAAAAAAAACAAAAAACCACCACTGGCACAGGAAGAATCTCCGTCTACCCAGGCCTCACTGTATCTGGTTCCTAACTCCAGAGGCTTCTAGGAATCCAATTCAGGAAGATAAATCTGGTCCCAGTCTGGTTTGGTGAATCACAAGGTGTTGATAATGACCCCCCAAGACTCTCAGAACACATTTTCAACCCCTAGGGACCTAGACTCCACGGAACACTTTGACCAGCCTTGGGCAATAGTGGGAACTGGCTTCCCTGTGCACTTCCTTTTTTAATTTTCAGACAGGGTCTCACTCTGTTGCCCAGGATGGAGTGCAGTGGCAGGATCATAGCTCACAGCAGCCCTGAACCCTTAGACTTAAGCTAACTTCATACCTTAGCCTTCCCAGTAGCTTGGGACTAAAGACACACGCCACCACACCTGGCTAATTTGTTTTCTGTAGAGACAGGGTCTTGATATGTTGCATAGGCTGGTCTCAAAACTCCTGGCCTCAAGGAATCCTCCTGCCTCAGACTCCCGAAGTGCTGGGATAACAGGTGTAAGCCATTGTGCCAGGCCCTCTGGGCACTTTTAGACAATCTCGGCCTCTTGTTGAAGCCTGAGCCCAGGTAGGCAGACAGGCTACCTAAGTGGCACCTTGGCTGTTGGCTAGGGCGGTCCGAAGGGATGCAGCAGGCATATTCCCATTACCTGAGTTCACAGCCCTGAGTCTTCCCAGGTTCCTGTTGCAATCTGAGACTGAAAGGTGACCAAGACAATTTGCTCATGAGCTGGGCTACTGGAAAGGTCACAAAACCCAAAGCAGGCTGGTAAATCCAACTGCCATTTATTCTGACTGAAACCAGGGACAGATGATCTCCATGTTGCCACTGCTTTCAAAGGTTTAGAAACCACAAAAAACGTTTTGAGTTATATTATTACTTTATTTTCTTTTTTTAAAATGTAGCATTAAAGTCATCCAACATACAGATATTCCTATGGCTCCTGGCACCTTTTACTCTCTCGAAAGTTAGGTATTTTAATTATGAGATGAAGAAAATCATCTCATTAAAACAGCAACATTTCTGATAAATGTGTTTCATAATTAATGTGATGGGTAATTGACTCCCCATCTAGCCCCAAAAACTCGTTCAGTCCAGAACTACAGAAGACAGCGCACAACCGCAGCTAACAAGTGCTGGGTGCCCAAGCAGACAGGGCTCCAAAACAACAAGCAACAGGGTTAAACTTCTGAAACAACAAGCAACTTCTTTATTTGTACAGACTACGCATATAGAAGAAAGCATAATTTTCCTTTTTAGGCCTTTTATTAGTGTGTTTTGCCTCCACCCAAATTACTGCATACCAAGCAGCTAATAATAAAAACCAACTGACTTAAAGTCTCTGAAATGCATGCAACTTAAAATTTCCTAAAGCACACATCGGTTCTGAGTTTCCGAGTCTGATTTTTTACTGGGCAGAGGCTAAGGTGCTGCTGGGTTGCCAGTGGTGTCTGTCGTGCTGTTGGGGTTCAAAGTTGCTGCTGCTGCTGCTGTGGCTTCTGGCTGCTGGGTCTGTGTGTGGGGATCTTCTACACTTCCAGCATTTTTCTTGCCCTCATCTGCTGCCACGGCACCCATCTCCATGATTGCCTGCAGTGGCTGATCGGCCTCAAGGTTGCTGGGCTGGAGTTCATAGACCTGGACTTGACCTGGGACATCAATGGCTTTCTGTTCAAGTTTTTCCAAGATGGTCTGAACCTTCCTGACACCATCTCTCCTGGCCTGACGCACATCGGCTCGTCCCTCGGGGTCCACTGAATCCAGGGCCAGCAGCTCTTTGGTCAAATACTCTTCGATCATCAGGTACTTTTTGTCAGTCTTCTTGCCTTCAAAGTTGTCTACAGCCTGCTCCAGCCCCTGCACCTTCTCCAGGATGGCTTCCACTTTCAGCACTCCTGGATGTTTTGGGGGAGCCTCAGATTCTCCTGGTTTTGGAGGTGCAGCTTCTGCAGGGGCAGTGCTGGGAGCTGCCCTCTCTTCTGTAGCCACATTCTTGGGGGAAGAGGGGACAGCAGAAGGGCCAGGGCTAGGAGAAGGACAAGGTACTGGAGCAGGGGGAACTTTTACCTCTACCTTCTCAGAGGGAGGTGGGGGCTTCTGGGAAACAGGTTTAGAATCCGCCTCTTTGCGGATCACTTGAATTGGGACATGTCCAGGAGGGAGATCTGGTCCAACTGGGCCTGGCTTACTTTCTGGTTTGTTTTCAGGTTGGGGAATAGGTGCAGATTCTCGATGGGTCATGGGCTGCTGAAAAATAGAAAAAATATATTTATTTTTTTTGGAGACGGAGTTTTACTCTTGTTGCCCAGCCTGGAGTGCAATGGTGTGATCTCCAGTCACTGCAACCTCCGCCTCCTGGGTTCAAATGATTCTCTTGCTTAAGCCTCTGAGTAGCTGGGATTACAGGCATGCGCCACCACACCTGGCTAATTTTGTATTTTCGGTAAAGATGGGGTTTCTCCATGTTGGCCAGGCTGGTCTAGAACTTTCGACCTCAGGTGATCTGCCTGCCTTGGCCTCCCAAAGTGCTGGGATTACAGGCGTGAGCCACCATGCTCGGCCACGAAAAGGTACTTTTAATAACTGACTGGAAGTCACAGAAATTGTCTGTAGCTAGTACAGATTAGAAAGAAAACTGAAAAACGGCTTTTAAAGAAAAGTTTAATAGTCTAAAATATTTTCAAAGTCAATCAATGGCTGTTATAAAACAAAAACATGGTATTAATCAAGTATGTAACCAAACTATTAGTTAGGCTTCCACTGATCACCTCAAGCTGTGTTACCTTTCACTGAATTTCTCTGTAGATGGTATTCTTACAGCAATGAAAAGAAACTCAATAAAATTTTCAAAAATGAAAATAGCTAGCCTGGGCAATATAGTAAGACCCCCAACCCTACAAAAAATTATTTATTTATTTATTTATTTATTGAGACAGAGTCTCGCTTCTTCGCTGAGGCTGGAGTGCAATGTTGCAATCTCGGCTTACTGCAATCTCTGCCTCCCAGGTTCAAGTAATTCTCCTGCCTCAGCCTCCCAAGTAGCTGGGATTACAGGCATGTGACAGCACATGTGGCTAATTTTTGTATATTTAGTAAAGACGAGGTTTCACCATGTTGGCCAGGCTCGTCTCGAACTCCTGACCTCAGGTGATCCAGCCGCCTTGGCCTCCCAAAGTGCTGGGATTACAGGCGTGAGCCACTGAGCCCAGCCCAAAAAATTTTTAAAAATTAGGTGTGGTAGCTTGTACCCGTAGTCCCAGGTACTCAGAAGGCTGAGGTGGAAGGATCGCTTGAGCCCAGGAATCCAAGGCTGCAGTGAGCCATGATCATATCACTGCACCCCAGCTTGAGTGATGAATGAATGGATGGATGGATGGATGCATGGATGGATGGATGGATGGAAGGAAGGAAGTTAGTTAGTTTGAGAAGAAGTCTTGCTCGAAGGAAGGAAGGAAGGAAGGAAAGAAAGAAGTAAGTAAGTTAGTCTGAGATGGAGTCTTGCTCTATCACCCAGGCTGGAGTGTGCAGTGCTGTGATCTCAGCTCACTGCAACCTCTGCATCCCAGGTTCAAACAATTCTCCCACCCCAGCCTCCTAAGTAGCTAGGATTACAGGTGCCCTCCACCATGCCCAGCTAATTTTTTTGTATTTTTAGTAGACATGGGGTTTCACCATGTTGGTCAGGCTGGTCTTGAACTCTTGACCTCAAGTGATCCACCCACTTTGGCCTCTCGAAGTGCTAGGATTACAGGCATGAGCCACTGCGCCTGGCCTTATCTTGGCTCTTATTCATGTAAGTGAATATCTAAAGCCTCTTTTAAAAATCTCACCCTAATTTCATCAACTGGGAAATAACTGGACTATATTATTTCTAAACTATTCCCAGTTCAAAACACTCAATTCCACTATAATGTTTAGTTAGGTGAAATCCTGGAAAGCCTCCCAAAATGGAACTTTGAATAAGCTCTAAAAGGGAGGTTACCACCAACACGGTTAATGAAGGTGAAAACGGGATGAAGTATTGTTTCACTGATTATGAGAAGTATATGAGAATGATTTGGGGAAAATACCGATCTCTCTACAAATGGGCACCTCCTAAGATTGCTGAACCCAAGTATGGATCTGGTATGAGATTTAGCTGTCTACACACCAGCAACCTCCTTTTCCATCAAATCTCTTTGGACAATCCAGACACCCTCAACTTTGGCCCTGACCATTCACAACCAACCATGTGCCCCTCCTTAGGTTTTGACAACAATGGCTGTGTACGAAGTGACTTTAGAAACACTTAAGAGAGGGTGTTCTACGGCCTGTGCTCTTCAAAAACATCAAGGCCGTGAAAGCAAAGAAAGGCCGAGAAACTGTTCCAGACTGAAGAAAGACTAAAGACAAATTACATCCATCTAAATGCGGTGCTCATGATCCTTGTTTCAATCCTGGAGCATATCCTGGAATTGGGGGAAAACTGCCATTATAAGGATTTGAAAATGGGCTTTGTACTGGATAATACTGTAAAAATTTCCTGAATCTGGTAAGTCTACCATGGTTCTGAATGAGAATGTCTTCCTCTTAGGAAAATGTTTGCTAAAGTATTTAGGGAAAAAGGAACATGATGTCTGCAACTAATTCTCAAACAGTTAAAATACATCAACAATACAGGAGAGAGGAGAAATGACAAAGTACATGCAGACATGCTGACAAACAGTGAACTGGATGAAGCCTATGGTGGGATTTCTTTGTATGATTCACACAACTCTTCTACAAGGTTGAAATTATTTCCAAATAAAAAAGTTCAAAAAACTTTAAGAGGAGGATGCTCTATTCCAGGGCCCTGGACAATGTGACCACTTGTAATAAAAGAATATCCCACATTTGTTCACAGGGGGCTTTTCTTTTTAAAAACGGTAGCAAAGAATTCAGCTGCTCAAGTTGCAGCCACGGGGGGCCCAGGCTGCTTAATGTTCTGCTGCTAAGCTGCAAGCTGCTCAAACTAAATGACTTCCCTTCCAGGAACTTGTACCTCGTGTCTCCACTGGAAGATCAGCAGACCCCTGCCTACAACCTTCCCCAGGCCAGCATGGTTTCTGATCTGCCACAGCTGGCTGATGCCTCAGCTAGGCCACGTGGTATCTGACTGCAAAGGGAGGAAGAAGGGGTAAGACACAGGCCCTGTGGTCAGGCTCAGCCCTCAGCTGAAGAGATAAAATCAACACTTCTCTTCCTGCCTCCAGGATGGACCCACAGAGAAGCTTCCTGTTGTTGTGTTTATTTTCTTAAAGTGTACAGATGGAAACTTCACTTATAAATAAGAACAAAACAACCCAAAAGGAATAAAATTTAATCACTAAAAAAAAAAAAAAAAAAAAAAAAAAAAAAAGAATCAACACTTCTGAAATACCCAGAATAATTACATGTTGAACTCATACAAGTTGGGAGTCCCTCATTAAGGAACTCATATGGGGCATCATGAGATGAGAAGGCTGAGTAGGCTTCATGGAGGAGACAAGACTGGCTCATTCTCAGAGAATGAGGAGCACCTGTACTGTGCAGGCATTTCAGGGAGTGGGTTCAGCAGGGGCAAAGGCACAGGGCTGGGAATGAACTGAATCGGCCTGCAGAGTGGAACGAGTAACCGAGCGGAAGCTGATAAGCTGCCTATGCCCAAGACGAGGCTGTGGCTGCAGTGTGGACGGGGGTGTGAGGAGCCCTGAAAGGGTGTGGTGGGCACTAAGGAACCTGGTCCCAGTTGTGTGAGTTCTACCCAAGCTGTTTCTTCTGCCCCAAGTCAGCCGCAATGCACAATGATCAGCCCAGCAAACGCTGCAGAATGCAGAGGGGTCACAGCCTGATCACTTGTCCTGCCTTTCTGTTAACACCCAGCCATTTCCCAAATCTCACTTCCCTCCAGATACACGCAAGTTAAATAGGCAGGGCTGAAGAGGGAACCCAGGGCACCCACAGAGCTCCTGTGGCCCTGGAAAGATGCCACCATAACCAGTCTGCTGACAACTCACTTCCCGTACCTGAGGCCTGTCGACCACTGTGTGCACACGGATGGGCGACGGGGAGTGGAGTGGTGTGCTGCTCCTGGCTGGTGAGCCCTCCCGGCTCGATGCACTCTGGACAGGTGACCTGAATGGGGACGCCGCCCGCAGGGGCCGGGGCTCCCAGTCATCCCCCTGGATCTTGTGGTACACAGGCTGGTGGGTCTGGTATTCCCCTTGCTGCGCTGGGTAGTGCATCTTCTGGGCTTGGTGGAAGGAGGGCTGGGCTGCTGGCCGGGTAACATTCTGCTCGTGTATCACCGGAATGGAGATGTAGCCCCGAGGGAGCTGGTGACTGCCCAGGCTGCTCCTGCCAGAGGAGGGCAGGCTGGCTGAGGAGGATGAGGATGAGCAGTCGGAGGCAGCCGGAGACTGGGACCGCTGCAAGAGACACAGGGTAGAGGGCATGATCCCAAGAATGACCCCCTACCTTGGCATCCTGACCATGCTTCTGCTGTGAACCTGCTCAGGGCAACCCATATCCTAAGACCTCCTATCTGTAATTTCCAATTTTCAAAATGTGGGGATGGCCGGGCGCGGTGGCTCAAGCTTGTAATCCCAGCACTTTGGGAGGCCGAGGTGGGTGGATCACGAGGTCAAGAGATAGAGACCATCCTGGTCAACATGGTGAAACCCCGTCTCTACTAAAAATACAAAAAATTAGCTGGGCATGGTGGCACGTGCCTGTAATCCCAGCCACTCAGGAGGCTGAGGCAGGAGAATTGCCTGAATCTAGGAGGCGGAGGTTGCGGTGAGCCGAGATCGCGCCATTGCACTCCAGCCTGGGTAACAAGAGCGAAACTCTGTCTCAAAAAAAAAAAAAAACAAAATGTGGGGTTAAGACTGAGGGCTTTCGGGCTGGGCATGGTGGCTCACACCTGTAATCCCAGTACTTCGGGAGGCTGAGGCAGGCAGATCACCTGAGATCAGGCATTCAAGACCAGCCTGGCCAACATGGTGAAACCCTGTCTCTACTAAAAATATAAAAATTAGCCAAGTATGGTGGCACATTCCTGTAATCTCAGCTACTCAGGAGGCTGAGGAATGGAAATTGCTTGAACCCAGGAGGCAGAGGTTTCAGTGAGCCAAGATCAGCCATTGTATTCTAGCCTGGGTGACAGAGTGAGACTCTGTCTCAAAAACAACAAACAAACAAACAAAAAAAAAACAAAGACTAAAGGTTTTAGAGTCAAGGGGCCTATGTTCATATTCCTAATAGTTCAATCATTTTCTAAGCTTCATTCGAAATATAGGAAGAGGCCGGGCGTGGTGGCGCAAGCCTGTAATCCTAGTACTTTGGGAGGCCGAGGTGGGTGGATCACGAGGTCAAGAGATGGAGACCATCCTGGTCAACATGGTGAAACCCCGTCTCTACTAAAAATACAAAAAATTAGCTGGGCATGGTGGCACATGCCTGTAGTCCCAGCTACTCAGGAAGCTGAGGCAGGAGAATTGCCTGAACCTGGGAGGCGGAGGTTGCAGTGAGCCGAGATTGCACCATTGCACTCCAGCCTGGGTAACGAGAGCGAAACTCCGTCTCAAAAAAAAAAAAAAAAAAAAAAGAAAGAAATATAGGAAGAGTGCCCATCCCTCACCAGATGGCTCTGAATGTGAGGTCAATCACCTGTGCATGTGGCTCAGCCCCAGGCCAGCACACAGGAAGCGCTTGTACAGAGGATGTGTTGTCCCCACTACCCTTTCTCTACCAATCTACAGAGAACTCGGCTAGCAACTGGGAGCTGCAAACATCCCGTGGGGCCCAAGGTAGGTCAAGCCCCTTTCCCTGCTGGGCCACCTTCTATTCACCTCAAAATTGAGACCTTTTCCCCTTCTAAGTGCCTTGTTAGCTTAAATTTGAAGATGTCTCTGATTTGTCACTTTGATTTCCTGCAGCAAAACCGTTATAAATACAGGTATTAATTTTTTTTTTCTTTTTGAGACAGTCTTGCTCTGTTACATAGGCTGGAGTGAGTAGCATGGTCTTGGCTCACTGTACCCTCTGCCTCCTGGGTTGAAGCAATTCTCGTGCCTCAGCCATCCAAGTAGCTGGATTACAGGCACACACCACCATACCCCACTAATTTTTTTATTTTTTATAGAGACGGGGTTTTGCCATGTTGGCCAAGCTGGTCTCGAATTTCTGGTCTCAAGTGATCCACCCGCCTCAGCCTCCCAAAGAGCTAAGATTATAGGTGTGAGCCACCACACTTGGCCAGGTACTACTGCTTTAAGAAAAGAAAAATGCCTCTGGTATCCCACATTAACTGTAACTTTTCTTTTTTTTTTTTTTTTTGAGACGGAGTTTCGCTCTTGTTACCCAGGCTGGAGTGCAATGGCGTCATCTCGGCTCACCGCAACCTCCGCCTCCTGGGTTCAGGCAATTCTCCTGCCTCAGCCTCCTGAGTAGCTGGGATTACAGGCACGCGCCACCATGCCCAGCTAATTTTTTGTATTTTTAGTAGAGACGGGGTTTCACCATGTTGACCAGGATGGTCTCGATCTCTCGACCTCGTGATCCACCCGCCTCGGCCTCCCAAAGTGCTGGGATTACAAGCTTGAGCCACCGCACCCGGCCTAACTGTAATTTTTCACTCTCAAGCATGTGGGAAGCTGAACAGATTCAGAGTGGGCTGTGGCAAGCATGACTCTGGGTGCAGACAGGACATTGGATTTTGTGCCCAGGAACAGCGCTGGTGTACACAATGGGATGATCCACAGACCGGAAAATTAAGAGGGCTTACTGGTCAGGAATCCTATTAGCAATGCCTCAAATCTCAGCTAAGAGCCAGATTAAGAACTAATTTTTAGCTATTAATGCACAGCATCCACTGGCATACCCCTGACATGTTTGGCTTCAGGATTAAAATGCTGCCTTCCTGATTCCTTACTTCTTTTTAAACTGTGGTGCACGGTGAGGGCAGGCATGGGGTCTCATTTTCCTATCAACACAGCTCCACAAGCAGTTCAGATTTATCCATAAGCATTGAACTGAGCAAAATGGTACACAGCTATCGCTGTGTTTCTGAATAGAAAGCCAAGGGTAAATAAGGAACATGGAAATCTGGAGCCAGGAGGCAGGCTGGGCTTCTGCTCCCAGCTCTGCTGCCTCCACCTGTATGCATCTGAAGCGGGCAGGCTGCGGTGTGCCCTTTCGAGCTCTGGTTCCTTAACTACAAAAGTAAGCCAAATGATTCCCTGCCCCACTGAAAAACACCCCTATTTGATGCTGGGGGATGATGTGGGGCCATCACCCTGTCTTTGCTGGGTGACCTCTGATGCTGCAGGCCAGGCCCAGATGCCCTGCATGTGAACAGGTGCTGGCCCAGGGCACTGTCCTCAGGGGCTGGGCCCAGCCTAGGAAGCACAGCGGCTCGTTCCCCAACAGGCCCGTGAGCCTGGCCTCTGCTTACCTCAGGTCCATGGGAGGCTGGGGGTTGGGCTGCTGCAGCCGCTGCCACCTGTCCACACTGTTTATCTAGCTGAGTGGTTTCTGGCATGCCCCGCTGAGGTGACTGGGACCTCTGAGGAGCCGCTGCTGCTGCCTCTGTTCGGAATCGCTGCATCCCAGGCTGGGGATAGGCATGGAGAGGGTGCGGCTGCCGGTTCTCAGCACCTTCATGAAGCACGGGAATGAGAATGTAGCCTGGTCGAAGCTGGGGGTACACAGGGAGGCCTTCCCTGACAGGCAACAGCCTAGAGCCCTCCCGGGAAGGGCCATTGGCAGAGGATGAAGTCTCCTGAAATAAAAAGCAGAGAAACAGGGGCTGGTTAGAAACTGGGAAGTGAACCTTCCTGGCGGAGGGAACAGTGTGGCAGCTGGCACTGTGATCTTCCCAAGTGACTTGGGCCTCAGGGCGTCAGCCAGCTCCCAGGCCCTGCTCCCTCTAAGCCCCCCACCCCATAGAGGCTGCTGTTTGGCCAACAGTTTAGGAATTAGGAGCATTGGGAGAAAGCCAAAAGTATCTGTTGAGCACAGGCGAGGTCCCCAAACTGGTAAGACAGGTTTCTTTTCTGGGTGACCAGGTGACCCAGCTGCCCACGCCCGCCCGCATTTTCAGAGACCCAATCAGAAGGTGAGGTCCAGGAGCAGGGGTGTGAGCTCCAGGAGCAGGGGTCAGCTCCAACTTCTACATTACAGCAAGCATGTTTCCAAAAAGGCCCTCACATTTCCCAGCAAGACAGCTTGTACTGGGCCCCAACACAGGACATGGTTTGGGAATCTTCACAGAGCAGTGGGCTGGGGAGCAAGGTCTGCCTCCTAAGGAGTATTGTTAGAACAAGAGGCAGGAAGGGGAAGCACAGGGGTGCAGAGGCAGCAAAGGGGAGAGCAGCATGTAGGGTTCACTGTGCTGCCTAATGATGCCAACTGACAAAGATTCTCTGCGTGGCCAGACCTTAGTCAGGCTTCTGAAGCTTCTCTTAGCCCCATCTGTGCACTTCTTGTAAAGTCCAGTTTCAGCAAAAGGCACTGCTAAGTCAGTTTAGCCAGAAGCCCCCTCCCCAGCCTGTCTGATCAGGTTCCTCAGCCTCCATCATCCCCAGGTGCTGTCTAATCACTCTGGCCTGTCTTGGCCAAGAATCCTGTTTGGTCAGTGTGGCCAGACACGCCCTTACCCCTGCTTTCCTCTTCTAATCTTGCATCCACTGACCCCCACACTGCTCCTTGACTATAAATTCCCACCGGCCTGCGCTATAGTTGAAGTTGAGCCCAGTCTTTCCTCTGAATGCAAGACACCACTGCTGTGGTCCCTGTGCCTATCTTGATGGCCCTGAATAAATCTTCATGACTGTGCTTTAACAAGTATCACTGAATAATGTTTTCTTCAACACAACAGAGCCTGTTTGGGCAAGGAGCTGTTGGGGTCCCTCTCTTGTGTCCTCTCTTGAAGTTCTCCCTTCACTGGCCTGGCTATTTTGGGACCCTTGAGAAGGCCAAGTTCCAGATGTACCACAGGAAAGATCTTATTTCAGACAACAAGGCCGGCCAGTCACTCACTGGCAATGCCATCTCTCAGCTAGTAGGGGCTGCGCAACAGAAGCCCTAATGTCTCCAAGCACTGAGGGTCCTTTCACAGGAGGGGAGCTACTGATCTACACATATCTGCATGAGGCAACTCTTAAAAAGAGGAGTGATCCTTCCTGACGGAGGCAGCTCTCTGCACAGCAAACAAATGCCGAAGAATCTATGAGCTTGTAGGGTACAATCTCTACTGTTGCAAAAATCATTCAAAAGTAAGGACAGATACTGAGGGCTGCTCTGCACTTTGAATGAACAGACCATTAACTTGGTGATGTTTCTATTTGTGTACAGGCATGGGCACCAGGTGGCTGACCCTGGTTTATCCCTTTCAGGCCCATCAACTGCCTCCCTCCCTCCTGCTGAGACCCTGCCCTTGGAGGGCCTCCAGCACAGGAAAGGCATGGGTGTCACTGTGTCCTTGGGGACACAGGCAGACAGGCATTCTCAGATTAGAATAGCCACAGGCTCAGGGTGGCGGCATTACATTAGCCTGCTTAACTCTCAGGTCACCCAAGAGCAGGAGTGGGTCCAGGCCTCGCGTTCAGAGCTGAACTCCTGCCGTGAGATGACCCTGAAAGGGAGCCAACGAGAGGCACCCTCTACTACTCAGTGTTGAGCCACAACGTGCCTGTGGGCATTCTGTCGACTCACTGGAGTGCTTCTTCTTCCAGGAGAAATCAGGGTCTGCAGTAATCCTGCAGTGTCATTTTGCTAGCTGCCCAGAGGCTTGCTGTTTCTTCCCAGCCACACACAAAAGCCTCAACCATCTGCACACACCACACAGTAGGGCCCAGAAGTGAGCAAACCCTCATCCGCTGCCTGCTCCCGAGCGAACATCCTGCCTCCCGGTCCTATGGGGTTACCAAACCAGCAAGGTGCACTCCCTGCCAGCAGGGGCTTAGGAGATGGGCTAAGGAGGCAGGAGACAAAACAGAAGCAGAATTACTTGGAAAGCACAGAGGCCCTGAGGGATGGGGAAAGGCACAGGTTCTTCCAGAGGTAGACAATGGCCTAGGTATAGTCTAAGTGTGATTCGTACCTCTGTTCCTAACAGTTCTGTGAGCTTAGGTAATTCTCTTACCTCTGTAAGCCTTCACTTCCTTTTCTAGAAAATGGAGCTAGCAACACCTGCCCTGGAGAAATGCTGTGAGGTTTTATAAGGGCACATCTAGAGGGGTGCCCCGAAGGCCGGCAATAAATATGAGTTTCTCCCTAAATAGGCACAACATTATGCTCTTCAGACTCCAAAGTGTCAAAGGAGTGAAAAGTGAAGGATAGGACGGAGTGCAGTGGTTCAAGTCTGTAATCCCAGCACTTTGGGAGGCCAAGGCGGGCAGATCACCTGAGGACAGGAGTTCGAGACCAGGTTGACCAACATGGCAAACTCCTGTCTTTACTAAAAATACAAACATTAGCTGGGCATGGTGATGTGCACCTGTAGTCCCTGCTACTTGGGAGGCTAAGGCAGGAGAACTGCTTGAACTCACGAGGCCGAGGTTGCAATGAGCTGAGATCATGCCACTGCACTCCGTCCAGCCTGGGCAACAGAGCAAGAATTTCTCTCAAAAAAAAAAAAAAAAAAAGAAAAGAAAAAGAAAAAGAAAGAAAGAAAAAGAAAAAGTGAAGGACAAAGTGAATTGGTGGTGCTAGAAACCAGAATGGTGGTCATCTCTAAAGGAGACGGTGGTGACTGGGAAGGATCTTGAAAGAACTTCCTGAGGTGATGGGAATATTGTCTTTTTCTGGGTGGTGGTAAATGGGTGTATAGCTATGTAAAACTCCATCAAACCCCCACAGTGCACACCCCACCATATCCCACCCACACTATCTGGTTTTAACCAGGAGAGCTGCCAACCCCAAACCCTTGGATCCTTGCAGGGCCTGGAGTCTTCAGACAGGCCTTGAGGAGCTGTAACTCCTCCTGGGGGAAGCCCAGGATCCAGAAGGCCCTTGAGCCAGCCTGCTACGAGTTGAGCACCTCATGCATCTCACAGAGCACATTTGTGCCTCCATTGAAAGAGAAAGCGAAGAAGACAGGAGACGGAGGAAGGAAAAACTACTCTGTCTGAACACAAGGCTGTGACAGCAGAGACTACTTCCTGGAGCCAATATTTAACCTTTCCAGAGGCATGGCTAGGTCCACCAGGAAGGAATGTGGTCACCACAGGCAGGGGTGGTGGTGTCAGAAGAGCGGTGGGAAGCAGCAGCAAGGGGCGGGCTTGGGGGTCAGTGCTGAGCTGAGGAAGATTAGGCTGGAGGTCTAAGGAGGGAGCTGAGGTCCACCCTTCTTAGTGCTCCCACCATCACAGGAGATGCCTCAGCAAGACAGAGAGACTGGAAAGGAGAAACCAGGACATGCTGGGAAGCGAGGAAGGATGTCAGGGAGGAGAGTGAGGAGGTGAGTACAAAGCAGGGAAGAGGGACTGGAACTGGGAAGAAGCACCTGAAGATGGGGGTGGGGTGGGGGAAAGGCCTCCACTGCACATGAGGTCCACTGAAGAGGCCGAGCCTGCTGGCACAGCTGGAAGGCAGAGCTGTCAGGGCCAGCAAGGGCAGCCTGGCTGCTTCTCCAACAGTCTCAAGGTCTATACTCTTGGGTCTGTGTGAACTAATGACCCATTTATGCCATTTAATAAAAAAACCATATGTGTCTTTGTGAGCACTGCATCTAAAAGACATTCCAGGCTCCCCTTCCACTCTGGTGGGGTTTGTTAAAAAACAAAACAAAACAAAAACCACATTGTTTTAGATAAGTAAAAAAAAACATGAATTTTACAAAATAGGCAATTAAACACTTCTATGTGAATGAATAATTTCAACCAAAAATGAAATTCCCACCTGTAATGAGGTCTGTGCAGGGAATGCTGACGCCACCTTCTAATGTTACCATCATTAGAGTCATGACAGCAAATGCTTCCGCTTTTACTAAGTAAAAAACACCTCCATTGCACTCTAGCCTGGACGACAAGGGTGAAACTCAGTCTCTTTCTCTCTTTTTTTTTTTTTTAAGATGGAGTCCTGCTCTGTCCTAGGCTGTCATGCAGTAGTGCTATCTCGGCTCACTGCAACCTCCGCCTCCCAGGTCCAAGCAATTCTCCTGCCTCAGCCTCCCAAGTAGCTGGGATTACAGGCGCACGCCACCACACCCAGCTATTTTTTGTATATTTAATAGAGACAGGGTTTCACCATGTTGGCCAGGCTAGTTTTGAACTCCTGACCTCATGTTCTACCAACCTTGGCCTCCCAAAGTGCTGGTATTAGAGGTGTGAGCCACGGCGCCTGGCCGAAACTCCGTCTAAAAAACAAAACAAAACAAAACAACAACAAAAAAGTAGCCCCTGGAAGAGTTAAACTGCCCTTTCTCTCTTCGATGGTGTTTTCAACACAATCTAGTAAAAAAGAGATATTTTGTAAATAAAAGAATCAAAAGAAAAAAATGTGTAATATTTATAATTCCCCTAGAATCTGACTAAAACATGTCTCTTCAGTCTACTAAGTGTTTTCAAGTTTAAGCACATCCAGAAAATGCCTCTTGGTTATACCAGTATCTCTCAGATAAGGCTCACTACATGCCTCTTCCTGATTCAAGGGGGAGCTGAGAATCTGCCTCCTCAGAGTTGGGGAACAGCTCTGTGTGATCACAGGACAGGGATTGGGGCACCAACACAGTGACCAGGCAGATGACTGGTGATGCTTGTGGCCACCTGGTCAGGGCCTGCCTGCAGCTCAGAGTTCATTATCCTTATCTCTGGTTAAAGACATCAGGAATACATATTACACAAAATCCAATCAGGAAAGAAGCACCCAGGGGCTCAGTCCTAACTCTCACTGCTTATCTCACTATATTAATTTATAAAATGAATTGGTTAATTCTGCCTCGTTTGTGCATTGCATTAAAAATCTGAGACATGTCTCAGGGCACCAAAAAACTCCATGAGATGGCCAAAAGAAAAAGAAAAAATGACCCCAGATGAGCCAAAGTTTGCCCTATTATGTACAAGATAATTATCATTAGAGAAAGCCTGAGGTCAGGTTCTGAGCTTCGGTGAGCTGTTGGCTTCAGAGCAGGCCTAAACTGCACTACTGGTTTTTAACAGCAAATGGGCACCAAGGGAACAGCAGGAGGCCTGGGAAGAGACTGCACTTGGTTCCAGCCCTGGCTCTGCCCCTAAATACATGTGTTATGGAAGTAGCTTACATGCCCTCTGTGAACCTTAGTTTTCTCCACTGTAAAATGAAGGGGAGGCCCAAAAATGTTCTACAAAGCAGTGGTTCTCCAGCCCTTGGGAGTACTGACTCAGGAAATGCAAAAAAGGAACATTCTAAGCCCAACCCCAAGTAGGTCTGATTCCATAGATGTGTGATGAAGACTGAAGCTCCGTACTGAGAAACCGTGATCACAAGTTCCTTCCAGCTTTGACACTCTTCCAACCTGATTTCCAAAGTCCCTCCAAGCTCTCAACAGCTATATAAAGCCCTCAAACAAGGAAAAGTTAATGTCACAGAAATCTAAAAACGACCACTCCTAACTACACTCAAATAATATCAGAATCGCCAGCACTCAGAGCACCCCAAAGTTTCATGTCCCAAATGAAGAGGAGGGCCCAGACATGGTGGCTCACACCGGTAATCCCAACACTTTGGGAGGCCAAGATGGGTGGATCACCTGAGGTCAGGAGTTTGAGACCATCCTGTCCAAAATGGCCAAACCCCATCTCTATTAAAAATATAAAAATTAGCTGGGCATAGCTGCAGGCACCTGTAACCCCAGCTGCTTGGGAGGCTGATGCACAAGAATCACTTGAACCCAGGGGTCAGAGTGGCAGTGAGACAAGACTGCACCACTGCACTCCAGCCTGGGCAATAGAGTGAGATTCTGTCTAAAACAAACAAACAAACAAAACAAAAAAAACCCAAAAATAAATGAAGAGAAGGAAGCTGCTAAGCCTCAACCCTCAAGGAGTTTTTCTGCCTTAAAAACAGGCTGGGAGGCCAGGCATGATATCTCACGCCTATAATCCCAGCACTTTGGGAGGCTGAGGCAGGCAGATCATGAGGTCAGCAGTTTGAGACTAGCCTGGCCAACATGGTGAAACCCCATCTCTACTAAAATTACAAAAACTAGCCCAGCGTGGTGGCATATGAGTGTAGTCCTAGCTACTCAAGAGGCTGAGACAGGAGAATTGCTTGAACCCAGGAGGCAAAGGTTGCAGTGAACTGAGATTGTGCCACAGCATTCCAGCCTGGGCAATAGAGGGAGACTCTGTCTCAAAAAAAAAAAAAAAAAAAAAAAAAAGGCAGGGTGGAAACAAACAGCTCTTGGGCACCTGTTAGGTGTCTGTCTGGCTAGGCACATGCCAGGCACAAGTGTGTTCATGAAACAGCCATGAAGAAGAATCTGCCTTGATCACCACAACTGAGTCCCTGTACACTGAGTGGCCACTGAACTCTGAAAATGGGCACCTTCTGGAAGCCCCAATCTTGGCTCTATGGAACAGTGCTCTTTAAAAAGTGGGCTTGGCCAGGTGTGGTGGCTCACGCCTGTAATCCCTGAACTTTGGGAGGCTGAGGTGAGCGGATCACCTGAGGTCAGGAGTTCGAGACCAGCCTGACCAACAGGAAGAAACCCCATCTCTACTAAAAATACAAAAATTAGCGGGTGGTGGGGGGGGGTTGTGGCAGTCGCCTGTAATGCCAGCTACTCAGGAGGCTGAGGCAGGAGAATCACTTGAACCTGGGAGATGGAGGTTGCAGTGAGCCGAGATCGTGCCATGGCACCCTAGCCTGGGCAACAAGAACAAAATTCCATCTCAGAAAAACACCAAAAAAGTGGGCTCAACATCCACAAACTACAGCTTCACCACTCTGGTCTGAATCAGGAGAAACAGTAACAAAGGCAACTCTTAGGGCTGTCCCGGAGCACTTCTGACTTGGCAGCCCTGGAGTATTAAGTAGGACACAGATTGTCTTAACTGGGTTTTTAGGCCAGAAGAGCCTTCGCATGGGTCAGATGTTGAGTTTTACTAACAATACTTCGAAACTTCTAAAACAAAGAAAAAAGATGGAAGAACACAGGAATACTGAACTCCCCATATGGCTAAGACCTAGATCAAAATTAAGTGGCCTGGCTCACCTCCATCAGGCAGGAAAAAAACAAAACATACTTTCTTCCAAAGCGCAACTAGAGCTGAGCTCGGTAGCTCATGCCTGTAATCCCAGCATTTTGGGAGGCCAAGGAGGGTGGATCACATGAGGTCAGCAGTTCAAGACCAGCTTGGCCAACATGGTGAAACTCCATCTCTACTAAAAATACAAAAAAAAAAAAAAAAAAATTAGCCAGGCATGGTGGCAGGTGCCTGTAATCCCACCTACTCAGGAGGTTGAGGCAGGAGAATTGCTTAAACCCAGGAGGCAGAGGTTGCAGTGAGCTGAGATCATGCCATTGCACTCCAGCCTGGGCAACAGAGTGAGACTCTGAATCAAACAACAATCAAAACAAAAAAACAAAGTGCAAATGGAGTCAAGCTTCAGCACCCTACTGAAGTTCTCTGCTTGCTATGATGGGGTGCATGAATGAACGCAGTATTACTGCCCATTTGATACAGAAGTAAACAATCAACAGCCATTTACATCCCTACAGCCAAAGTAAAAATCCTTTCAGTTCCCACTGGATTGTAATGTAGGGTCTCTCCCACTACCCCAGCACTGTTCTGAGTACATAATAGACTTGGGGAAAATTCTGAATCATAAACTAGGTCCACATTCCACTTAAAGCACACCTTAGGAGTTAGGCGTTAGGCTTTGCCCAGAGACTCCTGGTAAGACAAGAGGTCTGTGCCAACCATATATTCTATAAATAATCACAAGTCACAGGCTATTGGAGGATTTATCTAATATACCTGTTAGATAAATACACACACACACATACATACATACATACATACATTTTATCCTGGGATAAACAGATGACTATCCCTATGTGTTTTCAACGGGGAAAACTTTTTTTTAGAAGATGAAACCAACATTGCTTCTCTTTGCAGCTGTGTCCAAATAAACAGGAATGAACCATCATGAGCCTGTGTCTTCAAGTTGCCACCCTGGGTTCCAGTCTCTCCTTGATGCTCACCAGCTGCGTGACCAGAGGCAGGACTCCTTGCTACTAAGACTGTTTCCCCAGCTGTAAAGATCCCGACATTTCCCAGGGGTCTTTGCAAGATTTAAGTGAAATAAGGTACCAGTCTTTGTAAACTCTGAGCTCCTCTGTGCCCTAAATAATTGCGTTTCTTTTTCCTTTCTTTTTTGAGACTGAGTCTTGCTCTGTCGCCCAAGCTGGAGTGCAATGGCACCATCTCACCTACTGCAACCTCTGCCTCCCAAGTTCAAGCAATTCTCGTGCCTCAGCCTCCCGAGTAGCTGGAATTACAGGCACGCGCCACCACGCACAGCTAATTTTGTATTTTTTTATTTTTATTTTTTTGAGAAGGAGTTTCGCTCTTGTTACCCAGGCTGGAGTACAATGGCACAATCTCGGCTCACCGCAACCTCTGCCTCCTGGGTTCAGGCAATTCTCCTGCTTCAGTCTCCTGAGTAGCTGGGATTACAGGCAGGCACCACCATGCCCAGCTAATTTTTTGTATTTTTAGTAGAGACGGGGTTTCACCATGTTGACCAGGATGGTCTCGATCTCTTGACCTCGTGATCCACCTGTCTCGACCTCCCAAAGTGCTGGGATTACAGGCTTGAGCCACCGCGCCCGGCCCCAATTTTGTATTTTTAGTAGAGACAGCTGGTCTTAAACTTTTGTATTTTTAGTAGAGATGGCTGGTTTTGAACTCCCGACCTCAGGTGATCCGCCTACCTTGGCCTCCCAAAGTGCTGGGATTACAGGTGTTAGCCACCACACCTGGCCTAATTTTTGTATTGTTAGTGGAGATGAGGTTTCACCATGTTGGCCAGACTGGTGTCAAACTCCTGACCTCAAGTCATCCACCCGCCTTGGCCTCCCAAAGTGCTGGGATTACAGGCATGAGCCACCATGCCGGGCCGTAACTGCCTTTCTTTATTCCACAAATAGTTATTGATGGACTCAGCTTTTCTCCAGTACTAGCTGGTTCGGCTGTTTACAAAGCCTAATTATTTTTTAAAAATATTTATTTATTTATTTGTTTTAGAGCCAAGGTCTTGCTATGTGGCCCAGGCTGCTCTTGAACTCCCAGGCTCAAGTGATCCATCTGCCTCGGCCTTCCAAAGTTGAAATTACAGGTGTGAGCCACTGTGCCCAGTCCAACAAAGCCCAATTCTTGAATCTGTCTCACCAAGTTGGTTGCAAGCCGGTTAGAATTAGAAGCCCCTTTTCTGAGAGTTTTTTTTTTTTTTTCCTGTATTTTTAAAACCAGAACATTTATTGCATGACTAATCGGTGCAATTCTTAAGATGAACTGGATGCTGCAACAGCTGCCCTCTTGGGTTTAGGTGTTGTTCCCTCACGGAATCCATGCCTGAATCTGCGGTATACAATTTTTAGGTGCCTCATTCGACCAGTCCCGGTGGTATTTCGTCTTTTAGCCTTGGCACTCCAGTTATACTTTCTCTTGCGCTTGGCGGAGTAGCCACATTTGCTGCTGGTCGACTCCTAAAGGTGGTAGGCCTTAGAGCCACAGTGGCGGCATAATGTGTGCGTCTTATTGCGACGCTTCCCAAATGATGACGTTCCCTTCGTCACCCTGCCTCTGCGACCGGGACCAGAAAAGCCTGAGAGTCTTAAGAGGACTAATTAGCAAGGATGTCACTTTCTCTGCTGAAGACTGTATTTAAAGTTTCACAACCTGGAAGCAAACAGCCAAAAACAACTCTAGGGACCTGAGCCCTAAACTACCCGCCTCTCCAACAGGCCAGGCCACTGCTCTGGGGAAGAGGCCTGCACTGCAGACAAACTCTCAGCTGAGCAGGGACACCCAGCTGCACTGACTGTGGCTCTGTGCACACATCTCCCTGAGGCCTAGGGAGAAAAGCCAAGCCACACTGGGGCACAGAAGGGTCCGCCTGGGAGCAGAACATCTGCTGGCGTTTCCTCAACATCTTCAGTGGACCCTCACCAGGGCACACGTCAGGCATCCCCAGGCCAGGCACCATCCGCAGCTGCTGGTATTTCCCCTGCTGGGGGCACTCGTCAGAATCCAGCCTGCCTGCAGCCCTGGCCCTGCAGCCCACACCTCACGGGTTTCACATGGCAAGAGGTAGGAACCAGGATGTCACACAAAAATTAGCTTCAGGGCACGTGAGAAACGACCTGCCTCTTCTTCAGGAAAATAAAAAATAAAAAAAAGCAGAGCCACCTGCTTTAATCATCTAAAGTCACAAATCACAGATGGAAAGTACCTGAAATTTCCATCCCGGGAAGCAAACTCTCAATTTAGACAGAGACAAGGAAAAGGGCCTCTCTCATCTGCTACATTTCCATGCTAAAAGTGAACATCCTGGTCATCCACCTGGCGAGTCTGCCCTCCAGACACCACCCAACAAGTGTCTGTTAGGTCTCACTGCACAGCATCAGTGGACGTGTATTCTGTACAAAATACAATTTCCAAAAGAAAAACATCCTCAGTTCATCAGCTGCAGTGCAGGCAAGGGGACCCTCTCTGATGGACGGTGAGATCCTTAAGTCCCGGGGGGCTCTGCTCCCACCTGCAGCAGCTTCTCAAGCATTTGGCCCATAGCAGCCACACTCCCTGCAAGAGGGTGGTGGCACTTGGAAAACCCCTCCCTCGTTCTACCTGCAGTGACATTTACACCCCTAAGAGTTGGGTCCAGAACAGCTGTGCAAGTAATTGGTACCTCAGTAAGGCAGCCTGACATCCCCCCTTACAGGCTGCACTCCTACTTCCTGCCTGGTACTTTGGGGCTACACAGACAGGGCTAAGGAGACCCTCCCCTGGAGGAGCTGGGGCTGAGTAAAGCCAGCGCTCTACACAGCACAGTGCCAGAAACAAGGCCCCAGCCTGTCTTGGGCAGAGAATGGGGAGATGCATCTACGGACACACAGGCGGGAGATGGCAGCCACATCAAGGTTCCGGAAGGCCCCGAAACTTCATCTGTTACTGTTCTTCTACATCCTCCACTCACAAGGGGCATGGGAATCCCCAGGGAGGGTTCTGAGAGCCACCTGGACGCTGGTAGAGGGAGTCAGCTACACTCTGTACAGGAGGATAAGAGGAAGCCTCGCTTCTAATCTAAGAAACAAGATCCCAGGCCTCTCGGAGAGCTGAAAGGCCCATGGACAGCCAGAACAGTCTGCTGTGCGGAGAGGCCACACACCTATCTGAAAACACATTTCTACTCCACAGAGCAGGCTGCAAATGTTTCTGGGGGTTCCATACATCCATCAGTTCAGGCTGTGGGGCATTCACCTTTGATGCACCATCTCCCTTGATTCTCCCAACCCTGTTGGCAGGACTGTTGCTATGTCCACTTCACAGAAGGGGAGACTGCGGCTCAGGGAGGGTAAGTGCTTTGCCTAAGATCTCTAGAACCCAGATTTGGTGGTAAGGCCAGGGAGATGCTAACATTTCTGCTACTCTTGTCACAGCTGTACACTGTGGTAATATCCACGTGTCACTAACATCTCCAAAACCTTCATCTTCCAGGGTAAAATGCAGCAGGAGAGAAAGGCTTCCATTTCACCCGGCCACATTGGGCTGAGGCTCAGACCTGGAACATTCAGTTCAAGTGTGCTGGGTAAGGGAGCCAGCACTTGGTGCTGAGTCATCGGGCCAGCCAGAAAGGGGCCAGGATAGTGAGAGCACTCAGCTTAATTCTGAGTCACCACAGCCCCAAGACCACAGGGACGCCCGGCATGAGCGCAATCAGAACCGAGGAAGACCCCACCCAACCCAACCCAGGAAGAAGTGATAACTGGGCTTGGATAATGGGGGTCTGAACTGATACTGAAAGGAAGGGCCAGTGAAGGGTCTGGCTTTTCCTCTGCACATGAAGGGGTCTTCCCATCCTCCCACTGTTTGGATTTTTAAACCATCCATTCATTTATTCATTCATTCAGTGTCAAGGAAGAACTTTTTAAATAACTGAAAAAAATATAGAAGTCTACTTTAATAAACACTAAGGAAAGGAAGATACTTTAAAATGGGAAATGTTTGTTCTCAATTGAATACTAAGGAATTTTCTGTAAAAAGTCTTCCCAGTTCACTGGAGCACAGCTCTGTGCTGGGAGCTCTCGGACGGCTGGGTTGTTTACAGGCTCCTGACGCATAGAGCCGGCACTCTGCGATTCTAGGCTTTTCTGAACTGACAGTGAATAAGAAGACTCACATATATGGTGTCTGATCTTACTGCCAGCCACATGAAAAAAAATTTTCAAGAGACTCCTTTCACGGTGCCCAGGGCTGTTCTCTGTGCAGCTATGGAAGCGCGGTCTGGCTGCTGCCAGCTCCCAGCCTCTCCTGCTGGAAGATGCTGTGTCATTGGGAGAAACAAAAAGAGCTTCTCCGGACCTGTAAGGATGAACTGAGGATATCAATATTGAAGTCCTTTGTGCAGAGAAGGCCATTTGGAAAGTGACAAAAAGGAGCAAGCCTCATGGTACCTTTAGGAGCCCAGGATAACTATGCAGTTCTTAGGAACCAATGGAAGCCTTCCTGGGACACACCTACACCCTTTACAGGCAGTTTTTCTGGAACTGCTTTCGAGCTCTGGGCCCAGGCCCATGTTCTAGCCTTTTCGACAGTCACTCCTTCAATCTTTTCTGAGCCTGTGGACCCTGCCAGGGATCAAGAGGCAGAGATGAAACACATAGACTCTGCCCCAGAACTCTGAACAGAGATGTGACCCCAAGGCAAAGTAGAAAAGTGCTGAGCTTAGGAAAAAAGATTCAAATTAACATAAAACGGAGTCCAGAGGAGAAACAACCTGCTTCCGACCAGCGCAAGGCAGGACATGCTCTGGAGAACAGCCTCGAAGTGGGCAGATTTGTCCTCTATATGGCATTTAACACTGGGACTCGATCACTGTGGGCACCCAGTGAATTTCAGATGCGGTAAAGGAGAGAGTGAAGAGCGGGACCAGTCTCCTAAGTTCAGACCCAGGTTCAAAAAGCAGGCCAATATTTCTGATGAACTGTACAAAGATGGATTCAGGACTGTTTATCACCTCAAGCTGTGCCTGGGGAGTACAAAGCAGCCAGGCCTGCTAAAAGCAGATCTATCACCTATTCAGGAACACAGGTGGGGTAAAGCCACAGAAGTCTTTCTGTTTTGCCATAGGCCAGGCACACTGCCTCTCCGAGTCTGCTGTCCCATACATAAGATACTTCACAGCTTCTGCGTCAGAGAACTGATGAGAATTTAGTGATAAGGCTTCCGAAAGTAACTGCCAATATCTGGCACATATATATATATATATATATATATACATGTATGTTGACAGATAGAAAAATCCCACATTCATTCCTTTCCCCCGAAATTCTTCCTAAGCTTCTGCAAGCTGCCTGGCTTCCTAAAAAGCTGCCAAGGTCCCCAAGATATCTTCATCGAAATATGTAAAGACTTAACACCAGATATCTCACATGGTATCACATGTGCCACATAATGCATAGAGATAAATCCTGCACCTGCAAAACAAGGGGCTCTGGAGGCTGCCTCAGAAGGCTGGCTGATGGGTGTGGTGGTGCGTGCCTGTAATCCCAGCTACTAGGAAGGCTGAGGCAGAAGAATCGCTTGAACCCAGGAGGCGGATGTTGCAGTAAGCCAAGACTGCACCACTGCACTCCAGCCTGGGAAACAGAGTGTGACTGTCTCAAAAAAAAAAAAAAAAAAAGCCGGGCGCGGTGGCTCAAGCTTGTAATCCCAGCACTTTGGGAGGCCGAGGCGGGTGGATCACAAGGTCGAGAGATCGAGACCATCCTGGTCAATTTGGTGAAACCCCGTCTCTACTAAAAATACAAAAAATTAGCTGGGCATGGTGGCGTGTGCCTGTAATCCCAGCTACTCAGGAGGCTGAGGCAGGAGAATTGCCTGAACCCAGGAGGCGGAGGTTGCAGTGAGCCGAGATCGCGCCATTGCACTCCAGCCTGGGTAACAAGAGCGAAACTCCGTCTCAAAAAAAAAAAAACAAAAAAAAAACAACAACAAAAAAAAGAAGGCTGAGTCTATTGACTCTATGCTCTGAGGCAGAAGCAGATCAGGAGTGTGCACTTGATTCACAACAAAAGGGAACCTAGGAGGGGCTGGAGAATATCATGGTGAGGTGTGGCACAGGGTTCACCTGTGTTCGTTAGTGCTAGAAGGTCTCAAAGATCCTAATAAGCGATGCCTTTGTCTTCAGTTTCTTATGTAAGCTCTCTTAAACATTTAAGAGCAATATGAAAAGAGCAAAACTTAAAGGAGAAAAAGTAGGTCTGGATGATGAATAGTTTTCTACTTTGGATGATAAACATCAGAACATCATTTTTAAATGTCAATAGAAAGTAACAAACATGTAGAGTGGTTTATATAAGGTGACTGTGTGTCATTCCAGAAACGAGGACAGCACTAAGCAAGCCTCATGGGTGGCATGAAGCTTTCAGACTCACAAGCAGCCCTGATAGCATCCAACAGTTAAGCCTTCCCAGCCCTGGCTAATATCAAACGCTGCCACAGGTCCTGTGTACAGGTTCCACCCTCATAAAGCGCAAATCTACCCAATAAAACAGGGAACAAATGTTCTCAGAGGTGCAGTTGATTCTCGTGTGAACACCACAGGCTGTTATTTAGAGGGGACAATGGAAGTCCTAGATGAGCTGGGCTCCAAGGCATCTGGCCATGCTCTTCATCCCTCCGCAACAAATCACTTTCACGCAGTTGAACAGGAACTTGCTCAGCCATCACTGCAAGTTGCTGGAAACACTAAGGAGAGAATGGCCACTCATTTCCTGACTGCGCTCTGACTCTGCTAAGAGGCACAACAGCTTGCAATCGATCTGCAAAGAGCAAAATGATCTAATGTTTGGGAAAATTCAGGAAGTTCTGCTGAACCTTAAGCAGAATGAATGAGTCTATTTCAATCATAACTCGAAACATTTCCAATGTACTCTGAAAGGATGTTTCTACCTCCCTCTCACAGTGCTTGAATATAATCTGTCAAATGATTATGGTTAGATTCTGGCAGGTGGGCAAGACAGAAAGGAAAAGCTCTGGCATGCCTCTTCCTGGGTTCCAGGAGGATCTCTGGATCACCTCCCCACTCTCGCACTGCCAGTCACCCTGACATACTTTGCAGTGTGTTTTCGCTCACTCCCCATGTCACTCCCATATTCACACCTTCAGAAGCCCAGGCATCCGGGCGTTTCCCCAAGAAGGAAAATGGAGGCTCGGGAAAAAGCTCTGTGGGTTAGATGTTCAGGAGGCACTAATCTGCAGCTCCTCTTCCCCAAAATGGGATCACTGGCCATCCGTGGCTCCCATTGCAGTGTGGCACAATCAGAACCACCAAAATAGCTTTTTGAACTTAATAGATTTCTGGGCTCTACACTGAGCAATTCAGATTTGAACATGGAGTTTGGGCAGGCAAGTGGTGAGACAGAGCCACAATCTGTGTTCTTAAAAGGACTCCCGAGACTGCCAGGCTGGTAAACCCCAGGATCCACAGAGCTAGAACAGCCCTGCTCCATGAGGGAGGGAGGTCTCCCTCTCATCCCAGGGAGGCCTGGAGGGGAACAGCACTCCAGAGTATCCGGCCTCTGTTTATTCAGGGAGGAGAGCCTGGAGGAGTGGCTACAACCAGTATTGAATGCCAACCTCTGCCAGGAAGGGTCCTGGACTGGTATGAACTTGCCAAATTAGTGGGAAGGCCAAGTGTACAGAAAATCAAAATCCAGGAAGACTGCAGGTGTGGCGGTCCAGCTGCTTAGAATGGGGCTGGATGAAGCCCAACATCTTTGTGGGCTGCTGGCCTGCTTCAGCAACAACAGAAGATACTTGCTTTCCCTCTGCCCTTCTGCAAAAACAGGGAGTTGTCCTAACCAGTTCAGGGAAGGTGGAGGATCAACTGCAAGACAGCAGAAGACTAAATAAAATACAAAGATTTAGTTTTTTCCTTTTTTTAACTAATGCAGCTAAATTTTAAACATCCTAGGCTGAGTGCAGTGGCTCATGCCTGTAATCCCAGTACTCTGGGAGGTTGAGGAGGGCGGATCACCTGTCAAGAGTTCAAGACCAGCCTGACCCACACGGAGAAACCCCATCACTACTAAAAATACAAAATTAGCCAGGTGTGGTGGTGCATGCCTGTAATCCCAGCTACTTGGGAGCCCAAGACAGGAGAATTGCTTGAACCCAGGAGATGGGGGTTGAGGTAAGCAGAGATCGCACCATTGTACTCCACCCTGGGCGACAAGAGTGAAACTCTGTCTCAACAAAACAAAACAAAAATGTCAAACATCCTGAAGCCAAGTCATCCCCGAAAAGAGAGGTTTATCTTGAGCTCCTCGTACTCAATGAACAGCTTTTTACTGACTGACAGCATTTCCTCTTGAAGATGGTAATGCCCAGATCTGGGCCTCAGCTCAACTCCTCCAAAATTGCCCTTTGTTTTTCTGTGAGGGCCCTTTTCTCATTATGCATTGAGAAACCAATTTCGAATACAAAATGATACTGAAGGATTTTTTACTACATTTAGTCTTGAGTAAGGTGTAATTCACACAAGTACAACTAAATTAGTCACCATATATTGTGTGTGTCAAAGCACAGGATCAAAAGCAATGAAGCACAAACAACTCATGGACTGAATGTTAGTTTTCTCCTTAAGTTTTGGTGCCATACTCACAAGTCTCAAGTCATTGATTTGGTAAAGAGAACTCTCTTCTTGAGTTGATCATGTCCCATCATCAAAATCCAAGCAATCACAGCACAGAGGTCAGTGACCCAATAACTTGGTGGCCAGGAGGGCACAAAGATAATCAAGTATTTTAGCCTGCATGCTTCACAGTTTCACTAAACATTCACTTCCAACTTCTGAACAGACACACTGCCTCTTACTAGGACTCTCCTGACATCACTGCTCTCGGTGCTATTGGTACTAGCTGGGTGACCTTCAAAAATCACACCTGAACTCTCCGGGTTTTTTCAGAAAATAAAGAAGCCTACCTAAAAGATCTTCAAGGATCTTTCAACTTTAACATTTTGACTGTGAAATTTTCAAATAAATCTTTCCAGCATCAGACTTCTGATTTAGTAGTTCTTACTCTCTATTTGTTCAGAAGAATAATGATAACTAAACCTGCTTTTTTCCTTTTAAGGTTTATGAAACTACAGCCTAAGCCATGCACCAGGTGGGTACAGGAAGATCTCAACTTGCTGGGTAAGTTTCATGCTGAGAACAAAGTACTGGCAATGTTTACATTCAAACTTAATCTTTACTCATAACAAAGGCTGCCAGGAAATACTAGTGTCCCTATGTCTACAGGAAGAAGCTCTTAAAATAATAGTTGTAAATCACACTAAAGATCATGTACATCCAGGGAGACTGCTGAGAAAGGGGGTTTGAAATGAGCGTCAGTTTCACCCAAAAATGAGTTGAACAGACACCCAAAAAGGTATACTTAACTGTGCCCATCCCAGCTAATTACAGCCTCTTATATTGATTTTCAAGAATAAATATACAACTAATCTCTCGTAAATGTAAACTGCTGACTACACCATCTCACTGTTGGGAACCAGAGTTTTATCAATATTGTTAAAACAAAAAGTGTACAAAAATGAAGGGAAATAATGTAGGTCTTTCTTCTAAAATAATGTGTTACAAAGCATTTTTAATTTGCTGAGTTTTTAAATCTTCAAAATAATTTACCAGCTCTTTTGGAGACATACTTCTGCTATATTCACAAGAGTATCATTACTCAGTTATTTGTGTACTGGTAACAAATCCTAAGTATTTTAATACCATAACAAGGCAGGAAGCGAATGCCATTATAAATATACACATTATCATCCTCTTTCTATCCAGTGTGAGGCAATGTGGTAAGGCAATGGCCAACTGTAAGACAGTCTCCCATGTCTAGTTTAGAAACTGCTGGGGAGAAATGCACGCCGTTTTTAATTTTACAAGTGATACCAGGATACATACATATCCAAAGCATTTTCAAACAGTAATACAATTTTAATTTTATATATATATATATATATATATATATATATATATATATACACACACGTATAAATGTTTGGACACCAGCCTCCTGAGTCATTGGCTGCCTCAGACGGGACAGTAGTGAAGACATCCCTCAACTAAGTTAGGGAACTTGAGAGGTAAAAATCCCCCAAAACCACCACCCAAGCTTGTGTCTCCCTCGCGTTCGCGGGCAGCGGGGTGCGCCGCGGTCCCGGGCCCGGAGGCCAAGCGGGCAGCAGGGACTACGGCCTCCGGAGCCGACCAGGCCTGCTGCCCTCCTCCAAGTCCGGGAGCGCTAGGCCAGCGCCGGACACCCGGCCCTCCGTCCTGGAGTCGAGCCGCGGACGGCACAGGGGCCACTGCGGGGACGCTTCCTGGGCCACCAGATCCCGGGGCCTCCTTTCGCCCGGACGCCTGTCAAGGGCGGGTCGGGAACCCCTAGGGACTAGCCCGGGGGCCGCGGGAATGTGTGGCGGGGCGCGGAGCCGGCGTTCGCCCGCGAGGGGCCTTCCCCGACCCCCAGGCCCCGCCGCCTCGCGTCCCACCCGCCGCCCGCCGCCCGCCGCCCGCCGCCCGCCGTCGAGGTGGCGCCGCCGACCAGGGCGGGCCGCGGGCCCGGCTCACCTTGGGGCCCCCGGGGGGCACGCGCGGGTCGTTCCACGTCGTGGTGCGGCTGTTGTGGTCCACGAAGAAGGGCCAGCCGGTCTGCGGGTCGATCTTGATCTCCCAGCCGGGGGGCAGGGGGTCGCGGTCACCGTTGCCGGACGCCACCTGCATCACGGGCGAGTGGGTGGCGGCGCTCATGCCGTGGAGGGGTTGGGGTCGGCCCGGGGCGGGGGCCGCCGAGGCGCGAGCGCGGAACGCGGGCTCCGGGCGCCGAGTCTCTGGCCGGGCCGCCGCCGCGGGCCCCTCTCCGCCGCCGACGTGTCCGGGAAGCCGGCGCCGGGCACCTTTATGAATTAAAGGCAGGGGTGACGTGGCCTGAGAGGGGTGGAAGTGTCTGGAAATAGCCTCCTCGCTGCCAGAGGAGAAGGAGGAGATAAAGGGAGGTAGCAACTGGCCGGCTAGAAACTTCTAGTCCCGTCCAGAGAAGTTGGCCGCGGCCCGGGGTTGGATGCGGAGCTCCGCCCTGAGTCATCGGCTATAATCGCGGCGGGCGGGGCTGCGGGCGGGGGCGGGGCCTCGGCCCGCGAGCCCCTCCCCCACCCTTCCCTCACCTTCCCTCACCTCCCCCCACCCCTCCGCGAGGAGCCTCCTGCGCGTGCCCGGGCCGGAGTGGCCGCGGGCGCGCCTTCGGGGTCTGACTGCGGATGAGACCCGGGACGCGCAGAGTTGGGGGCGTCCTCCGTGCGCCCTGGGCGGGTTTCGGCTTTCACACTCCCTGCCTCCCTCTCCTTTACGCCCAGTGAGTGTTCCCGGGGCCGGAGCCGGTGCTCCCGGTGCCTGCCGCCCCTCCTTCCTGTACAAACAAAGCCATCTCACCCACCCCGGTCCCCTCCCCCATGTATGACAGCCGGGGACACTGAGGGCTCCCTGGGAAGAGCGCGGGGACGCTCATCTGACACTAGAAGGAAGGCAGGGAGAAAATGGAAGTCAGTGCAAACTCGCCTGCTTTTCTTTAGAAACTTCAAGGAAAAAAAGATTGTGTCAGCTGATGGTTTTTAGTCTCCCAGACTAAAAAGAAAGTTTCGTTATAGTAAACAGCTTTAAAGAAAAATCACATTCTCTTGGGTTTGGATCTTTTTTATGGTAGAGGTTGGTTCTTGCCATCCTACATCTTGACCCTCATTTGGGAAGTAAAGACCTAACCTAACCGTGACATTTTTTCGTTTGGTTCATTCAATGGAGGTTGCACTTGTGACCTGTCAAAGGAGAAAATTCCAACATATTTAATTTAAAGATCTTTTTGTATGTTTTTATTTTTTACCTTTTTTTTTTTTTTTTTTTTTTTTTTTTTTTTTTTTTTTTTTCTGAGACGGAGTTTCGCTCTTGTTACCCAGGCTGGAGTGCAATGGCGCGATCTCGGCTCACCACAACCTCCGCCTCCTGGGTTCAGGCAATTCTCCTGCCTCAGCCTCCTGAGTAGCTGGGATTACAGGCACACGCCACCATGCCCAGCTAATTTTTTGTATTTTTAGTAGAGACGGGGTTTCGCCATGTTGACCAGGATGGTCTAGATCTCTTGACCTCGTGATCCGCCCGCCTCGGCCTCCCAAAGTGCTGGGATTACAGGCTTGAGCCACCGCGCCCGGCCTTATTTTTTAACTTTTATTGTTAGTTTAAAGATCTTAATTGATTTTATTTGTGATTCTAGAATTGGGCAACACTTCCATTAAATTAGAATAAGTGTTCCCAAAAGCTGAGAGAAGAGGTTGGTTTTATAGACAGAGAAGGGCTGAAGAAAGCAGAAACAAAGAACCAAGACTGAATTGGTTGTTTTAAAATTACTTTCCTTGTAAAGAAGGGATAGAGAGAATCACAGAAAAATAATTGATGAGGGCTTGGCACTGTGGCTCACGCCTGTAATCCCAGTACTTCGGAAGGCCAGGACTGGAGGACCTCTTGAGTCCATGAGTTTGAGACCAGCCTGGACAACACAATGAGACCTGCACCTCTACAAAATAAAAAAAATAAGGCAGGTGCAGTGGCTTATGCCTGTAGTCTCAGCTACTCAGGCTGAGGTGGGAGGCTCACTTGAGACCAGGAGTTTGAAGCTGTCATGAGCTATGATTGTGCTCCTTATGCCAGCCTAAGCGACAGAGCAGGACCCAGTCTCTTAAAAAGAAAGAAAGAGAGAGAGAGAAAGAGAAATGATTGGTTAACATCAGGTTACATAGTTCAGATTACTGTGGAATTGACCCTTAACATGGGTTTGAACTGAGCAGGTCCACTTGTACATGGATTTTTTTCTTTTCTTTTCTTTTCTTTTTTTTTTTTGAGACAGAGTTTCACTCCTGTCACCCAGGCTGGAATGCAGTGGTGCAATCTGGGCTCACTGCAACTCTGCCTCCTGGGTTCAAGTGATTCTCCTGTCTCAGCCTCCGGAGTAGCTGGGATTATAGGCGCCCGCCACCACACTAGGCTAATTTTTGTATTTTTAGTAGAGATGGGGTTTCACCATGTTGGCCTGGCTAGTTTAGAATTCCTGACCTCAGGTGATCCACCCTTCCTGGCCTCCCAAAGTACTAGGATTATAGGCATAAGCCACCGCACCCGGCCTGGATTTTTTTCAGTAAAAATTGCACCGAGTATGCTTGCCTCTCCTGTCTCCCCTTCCACCTCTTCCACGTCTTCTGCCTCTGCCACCCCTGAGACAGAGGAATCAACCCCTCCTTTTCCTTCCCCTCCTCAGCCTCCACGTGAAGATGATGAGAATGATGACGATTATCATGATCAACTTCCAATTAACGAGCAGTAAATGTAAATCTCTTCCTTATGATTTTTTTAATAACATGTTCTTTTCTCTAGCTTACTTTATTGCAAGAACACAGTATATCATATATGTAACATACAACATGTGTTAATTGACTGTTCATGTTATTGACAAGGCTTTTGGTCAACAGTAGGCTCTTGGTAATTTTGGGAGAGTCAAAAATATGCAGGGGCTGAGAGTGGTGGCTCACGCCTGTAATCCCAGCACTTTGGGAGGTCGAGCAGGAAATCACTTGAGATCAGGAATTCAAGACCAGCCTGGCCAGCATGGCAAAACCCTGTCTCTACTAAAAATACAAAAATTAGCTGGTTGTGGTGGCACACTTCTGTAATCCCAGCTACTTGGACGGCTGAGGCAGGAGAACCACTTGAACCTGGGAGCCAGAGGTTGTAATGAGCCTGAGATCACACCACTGTACTCCAGCCTGGGTGACAGAGCCAGACTCCGATTCAGAAGCAAAACAAAACAAAAAATAAAGTATGCAGAGATTTTCTTCTTTCTTTTTCTTTTTTTTTGAGACAGGGTCCTGCTCTGTCTCCCAGACTGGAGTGCAGTGGCGCAATCTCGGCTCACTGCAACTCTGCCTCCGGGGTTCAAGTGATTCTCCTGCTTCAGCCGCTCAGGTAGCTGGGATTACAGGCATGCACTACCATGCCTGGCTAATTTTTGTATTTTTAGTGGAGACAAGGGTTTCGCCATGTTGGCTAGGCTGGTTTCAAATTCCTGGTCTCAAGTGATCCACCTGCCTCAGCCTCCCAAAGTGCTGGGATTACAGCCACCGTGCCCAGCTATGCAGGGATTTTCGACTGCATGGGGATGGTGCCACCAACCACCTCCTGTCACCCCCCAACCCCCACCCCTCATTCAAAAGTAGCCTGTTTGGGAAATTAGACTATCATCTCTCCTGATTTCTCAGAAAGTCAGGTAACAGGTTGGTTTTGGGTTTGGTGATGTGGAACTTTAGCATGAGTGACTCCTTTCTGATTTTTAGTTGGGTCTGTTGAGGCCTAATCCAAGAGCTTAGTCCAAAACAGTGACCTTCTATGACTTTTATTTAACAAACGTCAATGAGCACCCCAATTTCCCTGGGAAAGAGAGACCGTGTTCCAGAAAGAGAGAATGTTAGGGAGGTTCCATTTTAGATCTTCAGGCATACTGACTCATTCCCTTCCCCAGAAATACTCTGAACTAATATTGGGCCCAGTTTTCCAACTCAGAATCAGAGAATATGCTCAAATCCTTGCAGTCAATACCTCTGCCCTTTCCTGCCCTCAGATTACTCCTTCTGGAGGAAATGTCAGAGAGGCCTGCCAATCATTTCCAACAGAATGATTCTCACTTGTAAAGGCATTCGTATCAGCTTTGGAGTCCAATAGCTCCAGCAACAATTAGGCCCATCATCAGAACTATCAGACTCAAACATGTTAGAGGCTGGTGTATAAACCTGAATGTCAATGCATTAATCTATCATGGGAGATATGACTGCTGAAGGAACTAGACCCCCAAATCAGTGCCTGTCTTATGCTTCCTTATATCTGCAGCCCTGAGTCCAGAGTCCATATTCAATAAATGTTGATGTTTATCAAAGATTGAATCCAGAATGAAATTTTATTTCTACCTTCTTCCTTGCTCAATTTGCTTTCCACTACAATTACAGTTTAAACAAACACAGAGGCCAGGTGCAGTGGTTCATGCCTATAATCCCAGCACTTTGAGAGGCAGAGGTGGGTGGATCACTTGAGGCCAGGAGTTCAAGACCAACCTGGCCAACAGCGTGAAACCCCCATCTCTACTAAAAATACAAAAATTAGCTGGGCATTGTAGTGGGTGCCTGTAATCTCAGCTACTCGGGAGGCTGAGGCAGGAGATTTGCTGGAACCTAGGGGGTGGGGTTTGCAGTGAGCTGAGACTGTGCCACTGCACTCCGCCTGGGCAGTAGAGCAAGACTCTATCTCAATAAATAAATAAATAAACAAACACCAAAAGTGTTTTTTTATTGGCCATTTCTCCCCTGAAAGAAGAAGCAGGGAGGAAGCAGGTTGCTCTGGGACTAACAGCTGCTTCTGACGGTTGCTCTGGAGGCTAAAGCAGCTCCATCTTGCATGCTCAACTGCCATGTTCACTTCTGATGAATTCCAGTTCTGGGAATGTCTCTAAGATTTCCTGATTTCACATACTTACCCTTAGGTCCAAATAATGTCGGTATTACTGTAATCCCACACATACTACAAATCCTGCCTTTGATAAATTCTCTACGGTATACAAGTGCTGGGACTTGCGGGTAACAGTGCAGGGATCCACCATCTTGTCTTGCAGCCATCCAGGACATGGCTCATGTTTTTAAGTCCCTATTAAGTGTTTCTTTCTGAGAAACTGGATTTGCCCACCTCTTTCTTCAGCTTCTTGGCTTCCTCAGCCTTTGGAGGCAGGTTTGCATAGACCTGCTCACCGCAGAACAGTTATCCTCCACTAGGGACTTCCACAGGGTTTGTCTAAAACAGAGACGCAAGTCTTGGAGCCATGTTGAATTCATCATATCTGTCCTCAGTGGCTATTTCTCATCGCCAGGCCTTCGGACACTCCCTCTGTAGGCCTCCTGGAGTTCATATGCCCAGATCAGGAGCTTAAGCATAACCCTAGATTTCTTTTGCCCCTCACTATTTAATTATCCCTTTTTTTTTTTTAAGACAGAGTCTTGCTCTGTCACCTGGACTGGCATGCCATGTCACGGTCTTGCCTCACTGC